GCTCGCCATTTTTCCTCGAACCTTGTGGAGCTAGATAGAGAGATTAACTTCAAGATTTGTTGAGGTCATATTGTCTCTTTGTGAAAATATGAAAATACAGTTGAATAATAAGTGGATCGGGAATCTTTGTTCATTCACCTTCTTCAATGAAATGATTTTACCTCAAATCTGGGTAAATTTGATGGAAATTATTAGCTATTTAAACCAATTCTCCTTCAATTATATGATATTTTGAACGTCATCATATCATAAATCATGATTTACATAATAAAAACAAGAACTACTCCGTCAAAGTAGATCAGACTCTGAGTCAGTCATGGTTAACAACGTATTACTGTTCAACTTATCGTTGACTCGCGCTTTGTGCGTGCGTAGAACCTCATTTTCTTTTAGTTTCATTGTTATATTTTACTATGACTTTAAATAGAGGAAATCTATGAAATAGTTTCTCCCTGCTTCCATCTATTGATTTTCAGCGGGGGTGTTTGGATACCCTATACAGGGTGTCCCCAAATTTTCTGTACAAAATCTAAGCACATGGTCCTGAGGTCAAAATAACCCGATTTGAAATTGCACCGTTCCCGATATACGAGGTGGTGAGTTGAGAAAATAAATATCTATATATGTTCACTCCACAAGAGTATTTTGAAAAATTCATTCTTGCAATGCTCGAAATCGACTTATTTGGCTTCCGGAATATGTGCTGAGATTTTGTCCAGACATTTCAGGGACACCCTGTAGTGGATACCAGTTTTGTAGGCACTGTGTTCGATCTATTCGCGGGAATCAATGTTACCGGGTGGCGCTCGGTTTTCATCGTTCCATGTCAAAGCCACGTCAAAACTGGGGGAAAACAAACTCAATCCTCACTTAATCCCATTAGTGCCATTAGCTTGTGTACGGTGTACTGATAAGAGTGATAAGTTTTCAAATTTCTTGACATTAATTGTCAATATTCGATCGAAAACGCTAATAATGCCTATTGTAGATGTTCTTTTGGCAGATATTTTGCTCTATTCAAACAGAAAATACCGACCAGTAGTGGAGAAGCAGTTCTCCGTGCTAATCATGTGATTTTGTGTGAGGCAGAGGACTTCAACTGAAGGTACATTTTTGCACTTTGTCTACAAACTTCGGCGATGAAATCTTCCCCACATGAAGTAAAATTGAAGTTGGGGTTCAGAGGAACTCCTGTAGAACAATGGATTTGTATTTGTTCATGCAAAGCAGGACAATCTGGGTATTGTAAACATGTTGTAGCTGTTCTTTTATATGTAGATTGATTTGCTCATCATAATTAGTTTGAATTGTTTGAACTATCTCCAATTCTTTACCCGTTCACTGTTCACTAAACTAATAAAAATGTAATAAGGTAAAAAAATTAACCAACTCAACCATCATCCCTACCAACAGTGCCAACACTTTATGTCATTGACAAGTTTGACTACAGCTACAGCAAGCTGAATGCAATGTAGTTAGTCTATGCACTTTATCCATAGACAATAGTTTGTTTTCCCCCAGTTTGAAGTTCGTATTATATGTAACCTAGATGTCGCCCACTTCGTGAATCTCGCGAATAGTCACTAAATATTTCGTGTCAGGTAGGAAACCAAAATAACACCATATACATAAGAATCATTACAAAAATATCACCGAAATTGTGACACCTTCCTGAAATAGTCCACTCGAGCAAATTGTTCGTAAACTTTGTTACCAATACTTATGTGAAATCGACAATACACATATCATTTCGCTGACATTTTCTTCATGGGTTGGGCCCCGAAAATCCAATTACGGTTAAGTACCTTATAGATGATGGTCTTCATTCTTCAAAGCTTCTGCTGAATTTCTACACGGAGGCGTATCAATCTCCGCGAGAGCCATGAATTATGTGGATCAGTTTATCTCGCAACGGATCGAGTGAAAGACTTGTGTGTGGGATGTTAGACAAGGCGCCATGCTGTTGTATAGCAGGTGATAATAACTGACCGATCCATGTTCCAGATATGATCTTTCATTTTCTGACGGTTCGAAAAATACCAATAGATATACGAACTATTACGTGACTCTCGAATCAAGAGTCTTGATAGTGTGCAGAAAATGGGATTTGAATATCTATCATCGAATAAGTATAGTGCATGCATGTTTTCTCTTTGTAGCTATTCGTAAATAACACCGTATCAGAAACACCATTAGCTATACCTAACTAACTAGAAGAACGGTGTAAGATCGAATTTATATACCTCTAATTTTAATAATCAATCTGTGTTTCAAACTAGATTGTAAATGAGTATTGATTTCATTCGCTTTCGCCATACTTGAATATATATTCGCAAGGGTCTACCATTACTTAGTTTTGAAAACAATTCAGTTGATAATGATTGATGATTGAAAATCTGAGAACATCATCATTTCGACAAGAAGAAGTTACCTTAGAGAAAATGAACAGGTTATATAAAGTCATCAGCAAATAAAAACAAAATAGTGAGGGTGCGATTGTACCTATACTCTTCTATAATTATTATCTTAAAGTGATTTGGACTTGAAAACTCCGATATTATGGTTTCTGAGACCTCAACATGATCCCTGATTCAATTAATATTTCCAAATACTGACCTCTGTAAATAGTGATATAATTCCATCAATCTTGATGTATATTCTCTATCGAAATGGAAATGGAAAACGAAGCGTTCTATCGAGTATCAACAAGAGGATCTTTTTTGTACATAATTAAATAGTATTTCATGACATTGTATGAAATTTGGAAATGTTTTGTCGTTGTTCACTTTTAAGTAAAATATAAACAATAATATTCCCGTATATAACGGTTCCACTGGTAGATAAAATGAAAATTTGTGTAAATCAGACAATACAACTTGATGCATAAAAGACGTGTACCAAATTTCATGAAGAAGTATACAATATTGTAACAGTTATTATCAAAAAACTGAATATTTTTCAAAACTGAATATTTTTCAAAATTGAATATTTTTCAAAACTTCATCACCCTGTATCTCAAAAGTTAACACTCCCTCGAATATTAGCATGCCTTTAAAGGACCACCATGTATACTTAGATAGGTGTAATAAACTACTTATTGGCATCTACCTATACATCATAGATTGGGGTACTCGCTAATCTATGATGACCTATGATTGGTACGTACTATAGTGATGATGAGTTGCTCAACCTTTGAGTTATTCAATAATCAAGGGTTCAACCCAGGTCCTGATTTACCATTCTGACCTAGAGCGGCAAATTTTAGGGGCGGCAAATTTTCATAGGCAGGTTTCCAAGAAAAACAGAAAAGGACTGCCTAGGTACATCAATATGAAGTCAAAGTTACGTATAGGTACCTAAGTCATACATTTTCTATCAAACTAAAATTACCCCTACTTACGCAGGATAAAAACATATTTGAGGCAAAATGAGTTGTATCATCTTGTTCGAATTATATTGTCTCTTTATGATTCATTTCTCTTTTTTATAGATATTTATATATTTGTATTCATTTTGTTTTAGCAACATTTCTCATCCTTATTTATATCAATTTATTTTTTTTATATAAATCATCAGGTTTCAATTCCAAAACTTCCAAAACATTATCATTACATGATACATGTGCAGTGGCACAACAAAAAATATAGTATTAGCAACATTAAATAATAAAAAAGCATGTAGGTATCGATACAAAAAACAGAAAATAAACTCGCTGTCCAACACTCCAAACAAACTAGTTTTCTTATTTTTCCTCTATTATCCAAGAATGGTTACATTTTTGATCAATTTCGATTCGATTTTCTGAAAAACAAAACACGACTGACAAGGTTGGTAGAACTGATGATTATTTCAGGTAAGAGATATTCAATGAACTCAATATAAATATTATCTTGAGTTCATTGGAGACATTATTCAATGATTATTTGAGCAAACTGGAGCAAATAGACATCAATTCTACCAACCTTGATGGGTTGCCATCTCGTCGTAAAGTACTTTAGCTAGCTAATAGAATCCAAGTGATCCAATACAATGCTAGAAATCTGTCGTACCTACATTTTCCGTAGTTGTAGAAAAAGGCGTGCAGGTGGCAGCTTCTTCATTTGGCTGCAAGGTTGGTAGAATTGATGATTTTTTGTTGCCACGATCAGCCAAAAGCGGTGAGGGAAAGTGGTAATTCGTGACGTAATCTAATCGAAAATCGCATTTCAGAGTCATTCAAATCTATATTGTTTATCTGTCTTCAAGTATATTCACCTCTCCAGCTGTGATCTAGAATTATACATACATTTCAAAGATCCCAACATGAAATTTTGGGTGCGATTGAGTACGTCGATCTCCTCACCGCGTTTTCTGATCGTGGCAACCTTTCTCTACTAATGATCATCAATTCTACCAACCTTGTTTGCCTGCAATTTCGTCGTTTGACCAGGAAGGGGCCATGGTTTGTCGGCTTCATTCTGTTCTGATCCTAAAGCAGTAAATGAGGAAGGATGATATCATTGAATGTGGCCGATAGTGATTCATTGATTCAATGATATTTTTGTTAGGATCGAGCTCTATTTGAGGAGTTCCAATTTATACATAATAAACCGATTAATACATGCATGACCTGTCAGAATGTAGTCAACTACTCCTATTCCAAGAAGGAGATGCTGGCTGCAAGAATGATGGTACGAATTCAATCTGACCTGAAAGGAGGCATCTAGACAAGACGCAACAAATAATCCTTGCGGAAACAAGTGTACAGAAAATTTCCCGGAAAAAACATCATTGAAATAGCGAACACTATCGGCCCCAACGGTAAATGCCTTCATAGTATTTTTGTCGATTAATCACTTCGACAAACAAAAGAGGAAGGAAATTATTATAACATCACTACCATCACAAAGACTTTTTGTTGAAAGATTTGTTGTATTACATCTAAGATGCCAGATGAAGCGACCTTCGATTTTGACGTTTACGTTTACAGTTTACCGGTCTACCACTTTACCACTTTACCACTTTACCAGTTTACCATTTACCATTTGGCACTTCCCAGTGATACCGTTACCTTACCACATGACACATCTGACACAATGACCACACGTGTGACCACTGTGACCACACCACATGTTCCTTTCTGTCGTTAGTGACAGGGTTGTTGGCGTTGGCATTTTTGAATATAATTTTGCAGATGCTGAAAAATTTTATTGATAAGTAATAACTATTCTAACCTCAACTTAAATAACGACGCAAATTTCGTCATAAAGTAATATGGTTGCATTTTGCCCGTTCTGCTCTAATTTATTATTTGTTGAAGAAAATACAATTGGTAGACTACAGTTCACTTGCAATGTGTGCCCAGTTTTCTTTCCAGTGAAAAGACTGATTACTTACAGGAATTATTATAAACTGAAGGTAAATATCATCTCGTACTTCTGAATCATGTAATCTGGTTATGAATTATTTTTTAGGAAATTGATGATGTATTAGGTGGAGAAGAGGCCTGGAAAAACGTTGATTCTACAGAAGCTCGTTGTCCTAAGTGTAGCCACGATAAAGCATACTTCATGCAAATACAAACAAGATCTGCAGATGAACCTATGACTACTTTTTACCGTTGCTGTAACCCAGAATGCAACCATAATTGGCGTGACTAGCATTTTTAGATGTTCTTCATTAAGACTGTCCTATCATTATTCACACATAAATTTTCAATGATAGCAAATACTGCTGTTCTTTCTATGGCTGCTCACATCTCTATAAAAAATGCAACTGCTGAAAAGTTAGCTATTGAGTTTCTCAAGAGAGGTTCTGTTATTGCTGTACCAACTGATACTGTATATGGTCTGGCATGTGATGCCACAAATGTATCAGCCATTGGTAAACTATATAGTATCAAGTGTCGAAATGAAAACAAACCACTAGCAATTTGTTTGAGCAAAGTTAGTGACATCAAAGCTTGGGCAAATGTGCATCATCTTCCTCAAAACATACTGACAGCTCTATTGCCAGGACCAGTCACAATAATTCTTCAATCAACCAATAATTGTTTGGACAAATCATTAGTTTCCAAAGGAAAAGTTGGAATTAGGATTCCTCATCACAACTTCATAAGGAATTTGGCCTGTGGACTTGGACAGCCATTAACTCTCACTAGTGCTAATTTGAGTAATGAACCTAGTGCAGTGGAAGTTTCAGAGTTCTGTTCAATTTGGGAAAAACTGCCTGCTATTTTTGATGGAGGGAAACTGAAATCAAGTAATAGTGCATCTACTGTTGTGGACTTATCTGAAACTGGGACATTTCATGTGGTCAGGGAAGGAGTAGCTTGTAAAGACACTATTGATATCCTCAAACATTTTGGTCTCAAAGATAAATATTGTGATATATGAACATGAATAAGTTTTTGAAAAGTGTGCGCTCAGTGGCTAGTAACAAAGATGACATTATTAAACAGGCCTTAACATCCCAGCTATCTAACAGTGTGAAAGAAATTCAGTATGCTGGTATTGATGACAACAGACCTTCCAATACTAATGATATTGTAGAAGCCTCTAATACATTGTGCAATGTGTTGGAAGCAATATTCCTGCATGGTCTCAGAGACACATTGACCCATAGATTCAAGAGAGCTCTTGCTGATCTTGATGAGCAGCCAGAACCAAGTTTTTGGCCCCCATTGCTGGTTATATCACATCGTCAAATAATTGACCAAGTATGTGATAGTGTTCTTCTTGATTCATTTTTATGTTCAAATACAATTAGTCTGAGAAATAAGTGGTATTGAAATTATATAATAATTCATCTATATAGATGGGCATTTCCCACCATTTATGGAGGAACTACAATATTCAATTTTTTATTCTTCAAATGTAGACTATGTTTGGCCCAAAATTTTAGGTCTGAATTGTAAATTGTAGGTTGGGGAAAGATCTTCAATTTTATTCAAATGTTGATTTTAATTGATTCTATCCTAGTCAAATGATTGCAATTAAGAAGTCACTGAGCTCTTTTTGAAGGTACTCATAGAAGAAGATATACAAATGAAAATTGGAATCATTTAATTTTTGTCAAGGCATCCATTCATACTTCCATATCTACAATAAAAATTAAACTAAAACTTTTTCAATCATGACCCAGTATTATTATATTTGAGAGAACAGTTGCCCTACCATGATTTTTTTGAGATTGTAGATCCTATGTCAATTTTCAAAAATTATAATCTTTACTTGTGGGAATATGAAAACACTGAACTTAATTAGAAAAGGATTGAAAGAATGAACAATTTCAATAAATACCACTTTTTACTTGCTATGTAAAAATGCAAATCTGAAATAGAAACAGAATGGTGTTCTCATTCCCAAAAGTTCCTAAACTTTTAGGCAGTTTACTGGATTTTATTTAAGTTCATTGCTGAGTTGAATTCAACTTTCTTCCTTTTCAAAATCTTCATTCAATAATGTAAGAACTCAATTGGCTACTGATTGATGTCCACTATCATGTTTAACATTAATGATTGTCTATTGTCCGTTTTATGATAGAAGTCGGGCAATATTTCTGTCCAAAACGTCTTGAAACTTCAACATCTCATGTGCTGGCTAGAAAGTATATATCTAACTATTGAAAGTACAGTCTAATCGTTTTTCACTAGCCTAGCTGGAGTCATTTCATATAGACCGGAGAACGGACTTTAGAGAGCTGAACTTTACCTATGTCTGTCCGCGAACATCTTTGTTATGTACTGGATTCTACAGTTATGGTGTGAAAAATCAAAGTTTCGAAGGAAATAAATTTAAAAAAAAAACTGTTGGTTGGTTCCATTTTCTGGCTTTTCTACTGAATTGGTGATTTACTGAGACCTTGTGTGTTTGGGTCACTGTTGAAATGTCTTCCTAAGCTCTCAGTTGAAATAATCAGGAACATAATCTTGTTGTCAACAAATAAACTTCTCTCATTTTAAAAGAATTTTGATTCACTAACGAAGTTTGTTGTTTTTGTTGACTCATTCTATTGGTTTTCATTTTCATTTAATAAGTCATTTTTCTTTCCAGATAACAGATTTATCCCAAATAACAAGTGAAGTGGGACAATGCAGAGCTTGGATTCGTCTAGCACTCAACGACTGCCTCCTATCTTCTTACCTCATGACCATGAGACTCGACTCTTCAGCCTTGAAATCTTACTACAAAGTGGACGCTTATATAAGAGACAGTGAACTATTAGATGTAGCTCAGCGTTTGATAGAAGGTGTAGAAGCATTCAAAACATTCACTCTCCCATTCAATTCTAGTTTGCTCAACTCTTGGCCTTTGCCAAGTTTGATTCTCGCTGGAATTTGGTCCCCCACTCTGAAAACAGCCCCTGTAGCTCCCTGTGATGATGTAGCTTTAGGTATTACTGAAGCAACAATAGTGCAGAACATTATCGAAGGTAGTTCAGAGACTGCATCTCTCAGTTCTGCTATGTCAATAACTTCTCAAGGGTCGGGATTGCGACAATTCGTAACTCTAACAGAAGATGAAGTTTTAAAGATAATTTTAGACAAAGACAAACAGAAAGTCACTGATAACAAATTGAACATTGTGGATGATTACAAGCCTTCCATAAGTTCTGATCAAGAAAGAAGCTCTGACTCTGACAATGCCGGTTTCAATATAGGTAATTCTTTGAACAAAAGATCGGGTTGGTCATTTGATGAAACTGAAGTAGCTGATGAGAAGGAGAAGAAAGAAACCAATAGGGCAGAGAAAATAGAGGTGGTAGGAGAGTCTAAATCTATGGAGGCCAGCTATAATGCCTTGATCGAAAGTTATAATATGCTTAGCGGGGGTTTTATTAGGACACCCGATATCAGGGAGGTCTGGCAAAAATTTGAAGATGAGAGGAATTATGTTTCTGCAAATTCAAGCACAGTGAGTACCTACTTGTATACAAAAATTGTTTATTTTCTTGTTCAACCAATGGCACTCCACATTCAAATGTCTCAACCCGGGGATTATTTGTAATACAATGGAACATAGGTTTCTAACCTAGGCATTCAAAGCAATTATTAGAACAGAAAGACATGTCCAAAATGTTTCATCAATGATAATGGAGAAAAAATACTAACAAAAGGTTTTGCTAACATTGGCAATATTCTCAGCACTTCTAGCCGAGGGGTAAATCTCCTTGGAAGTCTGGTGTACACTCCGTTGGAAGTCTTTGGAATTCTTTGGATGTCTCTGGAAGTCTTTGGATGTTTTTGGATGTTTTTGGATGTCTTTGGATGTCTTTGGAAGTCTTTGGATGTCTTTGGAAGTCTTTGGGAGTCTTTGAAAGTCTTTGGGAGTCTTTGGGAGTCTTTGAAAGTCTTTGGGAGTCTTTGGAAGTCTTTGGTCATTGGAAGTCTGGTGTACACATTTTTCCTGGAGATTTACCCCTCGCTTCTAGCTTATATACAGAGTTTCCCAAGTTTATATATACTTTGTCCATTGATAGAAAACCTCACTTTCAGATAAAGTACCCATTAATATTAGAATTAGAAATTGAAGGTAAAGCATCTAAGTGTTAATGAATCACATCAATCAGTTAATCAGTCTAGCTTGATCTACTACCTTTGCATATTTTTATCAAGAGGACTGCAGGTCTCAGTGCATACAGACTGAATTCCACTGAATTGGCCAGACCAGGTGATGTCACTGGTCACATGGTCATTCTACAAGAAGTACAAATGGAATCTGCAACCAAACGGTTCCGCTGAGCCTCAGCAGGACAGAGGGTCCCTTGTTTGGTACACCGATGGTTCGAAAATGGAAGAAGGGGTAGGCGCGAGTGTATATGGACCCGGATGTAGGCTATTTGAAGCCTTAGGTCACTCCCCCACTATCTTCCAAGCTGAAATACATGCCCAAAGGTGCCTGAGTAAAGGTCTGAGGGATGCTAACATATAGATCTGCTGAGACAGCCAAGCTGCACTAAAAGCCCTAAAATCATAATCAAAAACCAACTCAAAAAGATGGGCCTGGCGGAGACTGACACTTGCCGTTTTTGCATCAATGCGACCGAAACCGCGGAACACATACTTTGTTCATGTAAAGTATTAGTCCGCCAAAGACTGAATCACCTTGAACAGGTCTATCTCACACCTGCTGAGGTGGAAAATTCTACCGTCAGGAAAATTCTAGGCTTCATCAGAAGTCGAGAGTTACAGGACCAAAACTAGATAAGAGTTATCACAATAGATCTTCTAGGTCACAGTGACCGAGAGGTCGCCCAGCCTATACCACCCATCTACAATCTAATCAGACTTGATGGTTTCATGAAGAACAATTTTGTGGATAATATTTTCTGAACTATGAAAAAGTGTTCCAAGTCATTAAAAAATAGTACCCTTTATTGAAACTCGAGAGGACGAACCGTTTTCAATAGTAAATTGATGTTAGGCTCCAAAATCTGTTACAGCTGTGGGATAGTTCACATAAGTTCAAATTTACCCACATGATGAGTTATAGAAATTATTCTCTCTTGAAATGAGGTTTTCCATCAATTGGTAAAATCCTGCTATCCAAACCTGAGACACCATGCGTTAGTTCTTAAGTTGATGGTAATTTGATTCTTTCATGGTCAATTGAGTATGTACTATTGTTTTCAAGGTTGGACAAAGCGAAACACATACAATTATCTCAAGTGTGCATTTAGCTAAATCGGAAACAACTGCCTTAGCTGTTCAAATTGGAAGGATCGCTAGAGAAAAGGGCCTGGATAATCAAAACTATGAATGTGCGGACTGCAAGTGTATTTTAGCAATCACTAATAAATCAACGTAAGTCAAAAATCAAACTTACTATTTGCAGATCTAGTTCTAGTTAATGTTATCGGTCCTCATTAATTTTTAGGGTATGTGCTTTCACTGGTGAATATTTTTGTGATAACTGTATGAGCAGTGAATCAGTTCAAATTCCTGCTAGGATTGTACATAACTGGGACTTCAAGACATATCCGATATCTCGAAAGGGAAAGAAATATATAGAGGAAGTTAAGGATCATCCAATACTTGATTTTAAGGTAACTTACTTGAATATAATATTTAAATGGTATTGTCATTCAATATTGAGTGCATTAGATTCGCAAAATGATAAATTAAATGGGGTATTGTATATGTATAACATAATGACACGATAAGTTATACAAGCAAAAAATTTTCAAATTTTTTTTCAAATGAAGGCTCTTATCATTCTTCATCTTCCAACTATCAAACATCCGGCAACATTACAAAAGGCATTTATACTTTTGGTTTTCTAATATTTTTAATATTGTTTTTTTTCAGCAAGAATATACTATAATTTTGTTTTGCTCTTTGTCTTCTAATACCCACTTAGTAGTCAATATTTCCTCCTGGACATAAAATATTGCTGTGGTATCAAAATAATCTCTAAAATATTTTTCTATTATACATTCAGATTCAGGAAATATTGAACAAAAATCTGCCATAAATTGAATTTAGATGATAATAATCTTTGCTTTGATTTCTACAGGTTCTTAACCCATTCATATACAGTGTGGTTGGAGAAATGGCACACTTGCAGATATTGAGAAATCAGCTGAATTTTTTAAGAGCATATCTGTTCACTTGTCGTGAACCTGTCATAGAAGAACTACAAAAGCAGATGTGGCCTAGGGAATATATGTATGAGCATATACATCAATATTCTATATTGGTAAGTCCTGAATGAATTTCGGATTATGAGCATGGGGTGGTACAAGTTGAACATTCTTTGTTTTTGTTTTGGTATCATGAGTAGGTATCCTATCAAGTTTATTCAAAAACATTCGTATACATGTCATAATTCAATGTCAATGTTGATATTTCTCAGATTTTACATCTTTCATTTGCCAAAACAAATGCAATGATTGTTCACGTCTCTATGAGTAGTGGGTTCAATGTTTGAAATATTTTTAGGATCTATCTGACATTAGGAATGGTTTTCTAGCTCAACAACTGCAAAAAGTTGTTGATTTTGGGAAAGAGCATGTTCATAGTTGTTGGCTTTGTAACCAAAAGGGATTCTTTTGTGAAGTGTGCAACAAACCAAAGGCCTTATTTCCATTTGATATTGATGACATATACCGTTGTGATATTTGCAATGCTGTGTATCATAAAACTTGCTTAAATTCATCAAGACCTTGTCCAAAATGCGATAGATTAAAAAAGAGAGAGGAGCAGCCTCTGCTAGGAATTGTTACAGATGATTAGTTCTTTTTTTAATACCTAATTCATAATAATTTGTTGGTTATGAATAGTTTGATATATTGAATTACATAAAAATTTTGTTGAACATTTGATGTGCTTTCCAGATAAATATTAATGAATATTCAATGCAAATTTTATTTCAATCATTCTTATCGAATTTCACCACATTGTGTGAAGGTCAGAACCCAAATATTAACAATTAGAAATATCATTTTGTTCCCTGATACAAATAATTGATTATAAAAGTATAGTTGAAAAAATCACAATTCGAGCCAAGGGAGATAAAGAACTACAATACTAAGCTCCTTTCATACAATAATTGAATTATTTCCTCGGATCCTTTCAAATTTCTCGTCGATGACTGATAATGAGGGTGGCCCCAAGATCTCTAAACAACGTCCTCTTATAGAGAACGATTCCTTATATCGAATGATCCAGGGATGTATGTCAGAAAGAAGTAAGTGGCGCCATCTATCAGTCTTTCAAAGATAATGACAAAGCCTTATCTGATTTTTGGACCTAGTGTGGATTCTCGGATAATTCTAAATTTCTTGTCGAAGAATGAAAAGTATCTGGTTGATCTATCTTTCCTTACCAACCTCCCCAGAAAAATTACTATTCAAGTATATCGACTCAACTGATAAGTGTCGGGAAGATGTAAATAGCGCCATCTGTGGGACTTTTCTGAGACTGGGATTTCCTTACTTCAAAGTGAATGTTTCTATTTTTAGTTCCTATGAAAAATCATCCATGTCGCCAACATGAAAAATTCTTCGTTTTCTCGACGAATCTATACTAATATTATAAAGAGGAAAGATTTGTTTGTTTGTCAGTTTGTTTGAATTGAATGGGCTGCGAAACTACTGGGACCGATTTGAAATATTCTTTTACCATTAGAAGCCGACATTATTCCTGATGAACAGGCTACTTCATACCGCGCGGGAAAATGCTTCGTTCCTATGGAAAAACGGGTAATAGGGCAACGGGTAGTAAGAATTATCCTTCCGTACTCATCTTGGGTGATTTAAAAATACAATTAAACGCGGTAGGTGGCGCTGCTTTCGGTACGTCAACTACTAAACGGCTTGACCGATTGGGTTGAAATTTTCAATACCTAAAACTACAGAAAAATACAAGAGATTCTGATAGAATGAAAATAGGTGTAAGTAGTAATAATAGTAGCTATAGGTAATCACAAAAAAAAGTACTGTAGACAGTCTGGAGGATGTAAGTGGTACCATCTATCAACGTTTCAGAGAAACTGAAAACTCGTGTTTTTCGTATTTCTCTAGTCTCGTGGAAAGAACGAAGGAGGCCAGGTTGACTAAAACAATGAATTCAATCGAAACGCTTAGTTTATTATAAGTAGAAATAATATACAGTATAATACAAAGTAAAAAATATATTGATGCGACAAACACGACTTATTGGAATGTTACCGAATTTTTGTCTAATTAACAGTGAAATACTGTGGCCTTTAACTCACAAGAAGTGTGAATCTGATATTTTTTTGAAAATATCACAAACAAGGTGAGTATGGTTTTTAGAATAGAACACTAATTCAAGAAATGAAATAATTAATCTCTGGTAGACGTCCATATTGGCTCAAAGTGGAGTGGGGTATTTGAAGGAAAAAGATATGCCCATAGTCATCTCAGTCTGGTAACGGTAATATGTATAAATGATATTTTTACATCGCCCATAGATCTCCACACACTTATTGCGCTTCAGGAACTATTCATCTCAGCTGTTCAGTTATATCAAATACAAAAAGTGGTTTTATATTTTTCTGTGAAATGGGGGGAGAGTTAGAAACGAGTATGTCTATATAACAATACGGTATCAACAACAAAAATCAATTAACATTTATGGTGTATCAACAATAATTTAATAATCGACTAGCTACCGCGTATAGTGTCAATTGCAATGATAAATATTAATCATCACTAGAAGTTATTCATCGACCAAATAAAAGTGACGCTTAACTTTCTGCCACAAACAGCTGTCATTACATATTGGAATAATTTTCAATCTCAAATAAACTTATTGTGCTCCACTGTATATGAGGCACAATTTTAATCTGAAATTTTCCAATGAAACCGTTCTTTAAATAGAATAATTGAAAGTTGGGTTGAAGGGACAGCTTCTTTGCATTGGTATACATTCCATTGAAAAGATAGAAGTAGGCTCCAGTCAAGAAATTGCAATCGCACTCTGTATATTTCTCTTTTGTTAAAGGTTAACATTTTGATTTTATTGACAGATTACAAGTTGTATGGGCACAATTTTAATCTGAAATTTTCCAATGAAACCGTTCTTCAAATAAAATAATTGAAAGTTAGGTTGAAGGGACAGCTTCTTTGCATTGGTATACATTCCATTGAAAAGATAGAAGTAGGCTCCAGTCAAGAAATTGCAATCGCACTCTGTATATTTCTCTTTTGTTAAAGGTTAACATTTTGATTTTATTGACAGATTACAAGTTGTATTTCTTCACATTTCAGTTCTCTTGGTTGGCAAAGGATTGCAATCAATTTCACATGAACTCCTCACTAGTTGAATACACCGCCGAAGTATTTATTCCACTTGGTATTAGAAAATGCTACACAAAACATCCGTAGTCTGAGTATGGGCAGAGATTGCATCAGAGGTTAGTCAACAACAGAACTTGACTAATCTCTCGTATGGGTGGGTCATCATCTCCAAAACCTCATGTTTTTATTTCGATTTTTCGGTGAGATTTTGGAGTTGTTGACATTCTGGGCACCCTTCATGAAGGATACCATTGTGGGGTTGAATTCATATTCTTTTAACAATTAACATATCATAAACTTATAAGTAGTTGAAACATTAATATTATTATTTAGGCTTTGTATCTGTTAAGGCACGATGGCTACTTCTAATAGGTAGGGGAGAAGATGGGGTAGCTTTGGGACTCATTGATTTGGTTTTCTTCACCTTAACGTTGTGGGTCTTTTGCAGAGTCCTCTCGTGAGCATACAGAAGTACGCCAATGTGGCGATGACCAGCTTCCATCGCTATTTTCAACGCTGTACTGCCATCCTGTTGAAAAAAGAAATAGTGGCAGAAAATATATTTCGTCGAATGGTATATATAACTTTTCAATGAAATTACAGAGCACAGTTTAGTTCGAGTTTAAAAACAGCTCAGGCTGTCACTCCGACCTCTTTCACCAAATTGTAATATCATACCTCCGCTTGGATTCTTGTTTTTATGTATACTTTGGTGAATAAATACGTATTATTATCATTATTTCCTGAAAGGTAAGACAAAAGTAGCTAATTGGGTAGCTTCAATCCTAGACAACGGTAGGTAAAGTGTATCCAAAATCAATTGCGGCGTCGGCGGGTTTGAAGTTCCCTTTGAAGGGAGCGTGCGGGTTGATTTCGGATATACTTTTCATGTTCCTTTGATTTTAATAAGTTCAGCTATTAGAGAAAGGCACACAAAACAGATTTTTTGTATAGTATTGTGGTATTGTTCATCATTACCCAACTAAAATTCGTGTTAAATCTTAAAAAACTTGAACTTGAGAGATGCAACGTATTATTCGTTTTCAGATACCATAAAACGAATTGCCCCACAGTATCGCAAGACACTGACTGAAAGAAATTAGCATAACCATCTGATAAGGAATTCCAGTCAGCACAGCTAATATTCATCATATTTCTATTGATGAAATAAACCTCTGGTGCGCTCACCCTTCATTTGTTTCGTCAGACTGGGTTCTTGATATAAACAATTGAATTTCAGGCGATGACGTGGGGTTCACATATTGCATGTTAGATGGCGTGATTCCTAGAACTTATGATCAACATCAGTTCTACCAACATTGATGCGGCTAAAGCAAAATGTATTCCCTATCTTCATTGGTCACAATTCGGTAATTTTGGTACGGCACCAGACTAAACTCAGCGAGATTCACCCACGCCATGTAATGTTTATCGAAGTAGGCGAAAACAGGAAAGGATTGAAGGGCGTTCACCAGAGGTTTATTATACTGTGTCGGACTGCAGGTGTCACGCAATTTTTATACCAGTACTGTTTATCAGTTTGAACACAATTAAAACATGCATTTGACACTCGCAGTGATCTTTACAAACGAAAAACCCTATTATACTTCATATTTTTTATGCTGTTCCAATAAGGAATAGAAGTACTATACCTACTTACCACATCAGTAATAGTTGAATCACAATCTGGTTGGCAGAGCAGGTGCTTCACGATCTCGATGTGACCGTGTTCAGCGGAACACATCAAGGCTGTACTTCCGTCTTCGTCTTGGATGTTGATGTCTGCTCCTGCTTCCAGCAGCAGCTTCACCATGTCCAGTCGTCCGTGGCTGACTGCTAGCATCAATGCGGTTTGTCCATGCTGAAGTAAATAATAGTTATTTATACACAAGGTGGTAAAGAATATCATTATTACCCTGGGACCAAGATTATATACCTTGGCTTCAGCCTATACATATAATTATACTATCGTCACAATGATGGAAGTAAGATATGGTGTAATATTGATGCGCTTTTGTTTCAGAAATTTTACTCGACCTCTCGAGAACAGCGAAAGCAATGGTTCCGTCGATCTTCTAATAGATGGCGACATTGCACAATTAGTCTGTCAGTTTTGAAATTGTCGCAGATTTTTCGAATTCAGAGTTCAATAATCCCACTGTTACATATGTTCCGCGTACTTAAAATGCCATTTGCCAGTAGACATTTTCAATCACTATATAAATTTGCAACTATTGTCAGTATAAAAGCACTTATTTCCAATTCTAATTAAAATTTAGTAGCCATCATGGAGGGAAGTCATTTTTGTTGAATACCTACTAGATTCGAGTGTCATTCCTGTGAACCTCGCATCAGAACAGTGAACTCGGGTTAATAACAGGTCTTTATTGACTAGTATATATAGTTCATAAAATGACGAAAACCCAACTTGGTAGAAAAAACACACTTTACGCCTTGAAAAGGAATAAATAATGGTAGGTTATATAGCTAGTGGTGGAAAAAAGAATTTTATGGTGATCCAGGATTGTGCCAGGAGCTCTAGAAAGGTCGAGTTCTTGGGAAATGATTGAAATTTTCGACGTACTGGGACTGTGTCCCAGCGAAGCCGGTATCGAAACATTTCTTATCGAAAATTCATAGTAGAAAATGGAAAAATATAATGCGTTTCTCGTTTGAAATATGAAGAAGTATGAAAACGAAAGATTTACAGGGATTTCAAAGTCAAGTCGGCACTATGGCTAACTTGATTATTATTGGAGCGCTCTGTAGCTCCGTTCCGTTCACGAGTTTATGTCAAAAAGATCAATATCTTTGAATGGGAAACACCTAGTATACAATATTCTTAATAGAAAATTCGATTCTGTACAAGAACTTATATCCTAAATTCAAAAATGACTAAGCTATCGATGATTTTTTTTTAAATTGACTTGGCCGTTACTTGATGGAAATCAATAGCAAATGTAAAAACTCCACAAACGATGAGATTTCCACAAAATTCTTCGTCACAGGACATGTTTCGCTAACACAGCTTCTTCAGGTGAATACTGGTACAATCATTGAGTATTCACACTGTATATAATCAAGGGTACAATTAAATAAACTAACCTTGGCTTGCCTAAACTTATGTATATCCTTCTTTCCCAACCTGAAGGATTAGAATTGCCTGTGGAAAGGTTCGATAAACCTTCATTTTCCGAAAATAACCACAATATCTACATTAAAATATGGTGTAACGGATTAACTTGAAAGGTGATAGCAAATACATATTACCTGCTAAAAAAACAAATTCAACAGTGGTGAACTATTAAGGTCTAGTTGATCATTAAGTAAAATGTTAGAATTTTTTAGTTTGTTGATTTCTAATGATTCGAAATGATTTGAGTTTTATTCCTTCATTTTCTACGTGTAGAATTTCGAAATTATCATCAAAACTATGGTTTTCTTCTAATATATGGTTGGCTTATGTTGAATTGGTTTTCTTTTTCAAAAAATCCATCACATTCTCATGAATGCGCTGATTAAAACGTACGACCTGTCTGACCGATATATACCTTAGGGTAAGATCCACAGTTGAGTGTGTATACCTTTGATTTTTAGAATTTAGAAGTTTTGTCTTCATTATTATTTTTTACTTTATGGTAAGGCAATAAAGTTACAAGAGACGACCATCCTCGACTAACAATCATATACTTTGACAAATTTGAAAATTCATCCATAGCTTAGTCATTTTTTAATTTACGATGAAACATTAGGGGACAGTTTATGTTCAGAATCAAATTACCTATCGATTAAAAATAGTATATACTGGGAGTCTCATTATTAAAAAAACAATGTTCGACGTGGCAAATAGCCAGCTAGGAAAAGTAGTTGCTTTCGTTGAATAGCCCGGATGATATTATAAACATATATATTTTTATCTCAAAGAGGATGCAAAATATCAATTTCAGAAGATTTTATTTTCAAATTGTTTATTGTGTGTTTTCTGTTGATAATATACTGATAAAGAATTACTATTTTTTATCAGAAAGAGAATGCGAATTCTCAAAGTATTTATTTGTATGCATAAATGTTTTTCATGTTCGTAATGTATTTGAGTACATCCCTTCTCAATATAATAGGGATTCCTTTTCGTGCACCCCAAAAGATTTAAAAAAGTACCTGCTTAGCTCGAATGTTGACGTCGGCTAACTGGAACAGCCTCCTCACGACATTCGCATGCGTCTGAGATCTCACCTCCGCCAAGGATACCAGCATGACACTGGTGTACCCCACCTTATTCTGCTTGTTGATATCGCACACTTTGGAATCCAGCAGAATGGAGACGACATCGAAGTTGCCGTGGGACACCGCGTAATGCATCGCGGTGTTGCCACTGGAATCGCACATGTTGACAACGTGCTCCAGCAGCAGACTGGACATGTCTTCCAGGGCGTCGAGGTAGTCTTCAACGTCGAGGGGATCTGCTGTCACCATGCTGGATATTTTGAACCATTCTTGCTGGACGATGTTTATGGCGCTGTGATTTTTGGAGGTCTTCGTGGGGTTCTTCAGGAGCGAGTCATTGAGCACCTTCATAGCACCTTGCATTTCTTTACTGGGGATAGCTCTGAAAAATATTGGATTCGAGTTGAGAAGTATTTTTGGATATGGCATTGCACATGTAACGCTTTTATGAAGTTTCACATAATAATGGAAGAATTTTACAGTTGGACCTTCACAACGCTCTGAAAATAAATATTATAAGTTTATTTTTACGCCACTATATCCTTCGGCTGATGAACTATGACAACATTGTTTATTCTTTGTAATAATCAAGCAAGCAAAGTCATCATCAGCCAGAGCAGCATATTCAGAGCATTTTGAACGATTCAAGCTACAATAGCATTTCGGTCCGGTGCCTTATGTGTGGTACAATATCTATTATAAGTTGTTGGCTGTCGCTATAGGTAGGTATAGTTTATCCAAAGTCAATTGGAGCGCCACTTTGAAAGGAACTTCAAACCAGCCGACGCCACGTGGTGCGGAATATGCTTCAATTGACATTGGATAGACTATACCTAACCCCGCGAGTTTCGAATTTCGAGGAGTTACTTTCCAACCTCGTAAAGCGATACTTATACGAATATATATGTCAAAATAATTAACCTTTTATAAACCCATTTATATATTCAGGATGTCAGGTGAACCATGGAATATACTCTAGCCGGTACGTGATGAACAAAACTTCATAACCTATTAGAAAAACCACAACTTGACCTCAGTGAAAACCTCACGGTTTTCGAGATTGAAAAATCTTTAAACAAAGTTTCATATTAGTCTGCCATCTGCAATTATTGTTACAACTACTGATCAGTAAGTAATATTAAACGCTCCTTATTTGCTTGGAACATGAAAGAGTTATTCTCTGGGATAGACATTATTTTTTTTCATAATGTTCTAATATCTTCAAATCGGTCAGGTTTTTACTGGTGATCAAGTCGTGGTTTTCTTATAGGTTATCAAGTTGTTCATCATCAGCTAGAGTATTATCCATGGTTTACCGTACACCTGTATACGCAAACATTTTGAAGAAAATGTGAAATATATAATACAAATTCCCTTCCGAAAAGGTCCCATCCTTCTACGATACGTATATATCATAATAGGGCCCATATAAAGCTTGATTTTAGTGTTATCTATAGTAGCTCTTCGAACAAATTATGAGAGTTGGGGTGCCGAAATAAAATGTTACAGTCAATTTTTCATCGTTGAATGCTTTTCCAAATTTGAAGTTTGAAAGAATTAGGAGAGAGTATGATGAAGTATGAAGCTAAAATGTGGACTGAATCATATATTTTTGTTTTCCCGAGGATTTGTACGCACTGCGTTACGCATATACATTCAGTATATTTGTATTTCTGAAGACCAACTGCTTGAACTTGTTTTATTATATCATATATGAGTGAAAGAAAATGGACAGTTTTATTAATATACAGCCAGTTATTTTTCACCCCATTTTCCACACTCTTCACCAACATCATTATGAATACCTACGTCACGATGTATTAAAGACAAAAAATACTTACTTCTTCCTATTCTGACTGGCAATTGACGGAAAAATGGTTGAAACAGGCAGTGTGACTTCTTGAACTTGAACTTTGGTTATAGGAGCTGAACCTATCATTCCATTTTGAGCTTGTGATATGGGAGCTTCTCCTAGCTTGAAGTTGTTCTTCACTTTTTCTAAGGGGCTAGTCGTTTCGTTTGATATCGTTTTTGAGGATAAGTCTAGACCTGATAACCTGGGGAAACACGGAAAGGTCGATCAGTCGTTGTACAGTAAGATTGGTTGAGGTTTGCAATGTTTGTAATGCACAACAGCAACGCACTAAAGAATCCAATTTGTAGCAACAGGTAGTTGATCGATGAAAAAATGATTCATCGTCTAGGATTGTATCACAAACTACTCAGACTAGTATCAACACAAAGAACGATATAGCTAGGGTGGCTACGTACAACAATTCAAGAGAAATTACCTGGTGAGCAAAATATGTTGATGCATGTATGAGCAATGAGCATTTTGATTTTTTTCCATAAGTTTTATCATATAGAAAAGAAATTTGCGATATTCAAGGCATAGTGAAATAATCAAGCAAATAAATACAACAGCCAATGCTACCGCGTCGAATGTATGGTTCGATCATCCCCATAGTCCAGGGCCGTAGTCATTACATAATAACGAAACCTGCAGATATACATGAAGTAATAACTATACCTACACGTGTTGAACATCATCGATCTTGTTACAAAATACTGAGATAGAATTCATGAACGTATAAGTTTATAGTACGTATATACAGGGTGGCCAATGGAAACTTTCCACCTTAATTTGTAGGGTTTCAATTCAAAATTGTGGAAGATGCTAGAACACGTCAACTTTTGATTTGAGGTAGAACTATCATTTTCAGCTGAACAACCCTCAAGATTTTTATTGGAGAAAAGGGGTCGTGCCATACCTCTTTTCAAAGGTCTCAACGAGTTCTACATGATCCTATAAATTTTGCCTCATTATTTTTATTGATAATAAAATGAAAGCTGGTCAAAATCTTAGAAGTAATATATTGTTTTCGTAATGAATATATCAAATTATTGAAGTTTCAGGATCAATAATCAGGTTTACACGTCGAATAGCTGTCAGATAAATTTCTCATAATTATTGAATTTGTAAATCTAATTATTTGGATATTTGATATTTCTTTAAGAAAATATCACCCAGATTTTGACAAGCTGTCATTTCGTTATCGATGAAAATAATAAGGCAAAATTATAGGGTCATGAGAAATTCGATGAGATTTTTTTTGAGGGTTTGTTCACCCCTCAACTAAGGAATTAACGCAACGGGGTGAAAAATGCCTAAAATAAGTTCCCCCTCAAATTAAAAATCGACGTATATGCGAGCGTTTTCCAAAATTTTGATTTTAAATCCTACAAATTAGGGTGGAAAGTTTCCATTGGTCCATCCTGTATGTGTAAGGTCATAATCATGCCCGAATTATATTGGAAATCGAAATAAGTATAAGTACCGCTCTACCTATATAGTTTCGTTTCGAGTAACAGAAGAATACTATCTTGAAAGTGCAACAATAGTGAAATTACTTCAGCTGATAGATATACCATTTTTTAACGAAAACAATAAAGATGATTCGTTTTGAACTGAAACAGAAGGTGACATGAGGTGAAGTAGTTTGGCCCATTAGTGGATAAGTGACTACTGCGCATCTGATCAATGAGTTGGTGCACATTATTATATTGATCTCGACTAAAGTTGTGGGTCATAGTTCCCAGAAATCCCAGTTTCCTCTATCATGTCCTGTTTTTTTTTCGGGCTCATTTTATATGAACTACTTACCACACAGAGTTTCACGTTTCTGCAGTGGGTGCATATCTAGCTCATAATTTCAAAAATATTTTCAAGTTTTATTTTTTGGTAATGGACATTGAAACGGATTTATACAGTTTCAAATTTTTATCAGTGATTTCCAAATCTTAAGGTGGGTAATTCAAATTCGAGGCCACCATTGTGAACTCGGAAACTATAGGAGATACGAAGATGCTTAAATTAGGACAAAGTTGCGTATTTATGTGACTAAAAATATGCCGTCGGAAAACATTTTAAATTCCGAGTATTTCCGGAGATATACGAAGAAAACTGAAACTTTGGTAAATCATTATGATTTTTTTGTGGCGTAATTTGATGGAGAATACCAAAATTAATAGCACATTCACATGGCCACTTTTTCCCTACTATACGATGACATTTTCAGATTCACTATCCGACCTTTTGTGATTACGCAACCATCATCAACTTTATTTTTTCTTATGGGCGCCATATTTGATTCTCATTGATAATAATAGCATGGCACGGCATATTTTTGGTCACATAAATGCGCAACTTTTCAATAATTTAACCACCTTTGTACCTCGTATAGCTTCCGAGATCCAAATGGGAAGGTTTCATCACAGACACCTCAAAAATGCTGGATATGTTAACCCACCTACAGTAATTATGAACTTTTTTTTTTAGAAAAATTAAGAACAGTTCTCTCACACTGATTATACGTAATTTGATAATGAATCAATAGTTCGAAAAACAAAACCTATTTAGGTATTGAAGAAGTGACAATTTTCAGTATGAATATTTTAAAAGTGTATCCCATTCACCCCAAAGCAATTTTTTTTTGAAATCGAAACCATTAAAAATATATGTATTAAACGAGTTTACACCAACTTTAGAGGCTTCCTCCACGTCACCTCTGAAGTACCTATCAGTTTTTTTTATAGTTGGGATGAAATCTATGAACTGAAAAGCTAATACAGTCCTGTACGGAAATATAACATGTGGCGCGCCGGTCCCTCACAGAATTGATTTCTGGCGCTCCAGGGTTGTCTTTCATTCTCTTCAGTCCTCACAATCCCTTAGCCCTTAGCTACTCAGCTGGCGAATGTCAGCAAACTTTTGAAAATGTGAAAAGTGGATAACAAGGACAGAGACGACCGTGCAAGGGCACATCCCATTGACAAAAATTGAGACTTGAATCATAATTGAATGTCTGTGTCTGAATGTGGCAACATTGGTAAAGGGGTCATCGTATATCTCTTGTTAATTAATGCATTTTTTAATGATACGAACAATTTACGAGACACAAGTACCAACTGACTGAACTGCTGATTCCCAAGAAACACAATTTGATTAGGCACTGATACGCCCACTCACATATATGGGATCCCGCATGTAGGTACTTAAGTGTATTTTCATCTATTGGGGCATTCGTTCATTTCATCAATAGAATATAAGCACTTATTGTTTCGTATTTAGAGAAAGCATTATACGTAATTATACAGGGTGATTCACATAACAACCGACATAGAGCAGGGGCATGTAGGGGGTCCCAAAATATGGCAATTTAACGCAACTTACCTCTATACCAAGTTGCTTCCCTAAGGAGTTATAGGCTTTGAAAGTGAAGTTATAAATTTTGAAAAAAATCAATATCTCCGTTATTCTTGAACTTAAATCAACCAAATTTGGTACACTTTGTAGATGTATTTAGGGCGTTACTTGACAGTAACTAGAGTTTAATTGAAATTTGTAAAGGGGGTATACTGGGTGGCGCACCATTAATATTCAACAGAATTTTGTTAACCCTTGATGAATTTTGAAAATCTTTGCTTTGTTTTGTGGGCAATTCAATTCTGAAACTTTTCATACTCTAGTAATTTTTCGAAAAACCTCATCATTTTCATCAAAAACTCGAATAACTGAAAACGCTCGCTCTAGGTGTGTTCAAAATCATCGAAAATTTAAAAGTGGGCTATGAAAATAAACGTCAAACTTGACAATGAAGCAAGTAAGTTGTTCGATTAAGTAATTGTAATGTTTTCAAAATGAACGGGAAGTTTTCTTTTAACGAGCAAGTTGACATGCTGTTAGTGCTAGCTTTTTGTGAAGAAAACTGAAGAAGAAGTGTAGAAGAATATCGTAGAAGATTTCCTAACCGTATCTCCCCATGGAGAAACATTTTCTAATGTTGAAAGACGAGCTATATAGAGAAACGGGCAAGTTTTTCAACAATACTCGAGAACGTGCTGTCGCACTCAGGCCGCAAGTTGAAGTAGCCATTTTGAATGCTATTGAAGATGATCCACATATTAGTACTAGGAATTTATCTCGACAAATTGGTATATCGCAGAGTTCTGTGCATCGAGTTATCCATCGCAATCTACTACACCCTTATCATGTACAAAAAGTCCAAGAACTTTTACCCGGATATTTGGTTCAACGTGTCAATTTTTGTCAGTTTATTCTACACCAATGATGAGGTTTTTCGAAAAATTACTAGAGTTAAGGAAAGTTTTAGAATCGAATTGCCCACGAAACATAGCAAAGATTTTCAAAATCCATCAAGGGTTAACAAAATTCCCCCCCTTTACAAATTTCAATTAAACTCTAGTTACTGTCAAGTAACGCCCTGAATACATCCACAAAGTTTACCAAATTTGGTTGCTTCAAGTTCAAGCATAACGGAGATATTGATTTTTTTTCAAAATTTATAACTTCACTTTCAAAGCCTATAGCTCCATAGATAAGCAACTTGGTATAGAGGTAAGTTGCGTTAAATTGCCATATTTTGGGACCCCCTACATGCCCCTGCTCTATGTCGGTTCTTATGTGAATCACCCTGTATATTGCAGTGCAAAGCAACATTTTCGAAGCAACTCACTTCTCGTCTATGTACCTATACTGCTCAAAATAATGCAAAGTGGGACATCTCAAAAATCGGTCGATTTCGAAAATACCTGATGTGAAATGTTTGATTGGCATGATTCCACACCAGATTGTAGAGGGTGAATTTTGTATCATTAATTGCCTATGAAGAGATAGGACCCATTCGGTTCCACTTCAAATTCTGAGAAGTATATAGAATCATAGCATAAACCAATAAAAATTATTATTTCTTATACCTATAGATCAGTAATAAGCGATCACAACAAAAACACACCAACTATATTAATAGTCTTAGCTTAGCCACCACCTACCTACAATTGACTTTTCTTCGTGAGAAATTTTTTCGGCTGAAAAAAATATATGAAGTTGAATAATTCCACCTTTGAACTTCATACCTACATTTGGAAATGGTTGTAGAAAATATAGTTCACTGAAGCCTAACTTCGATATACGAGGTGGATAAACAGTACTAGAATCGTCTATAAACTCGAAGGTATTAAAAGATGTTCAAATTGAAAAGATAAATGTACTCTGCATGGATATATCTCGCCAAAAAGGGGTAGGTACCATCTCCATATTGAATTGTTATACCAAATTAGATTGGATAGTATTTATGAAATTTATGAGATGAAATGAAACTCTGGCTTCTGATGGGTTCAGGAGATTAAAAGAAAAGAGAATATATCTAAATAATTATATGGGTTAAATTATATATGGGTATGATCACACTCAAATTATAATCAATTAATTAAAGAGAGGTAAATGACTTTTCAGAATTAGTAGGTAGGTATACCTGTATAAGTACATGAAATTCCTCAGAGGATTTTTTTGTCTGTTCTCAAAATTTGTTTGTTCTTTTCGTTCAACGTTTCGGAAAACAAGAAAATAATATTCCCCCGCATTTTCATTCAACATTCAGCAAAGGAGCACATCTCATCTGGAGACTAGTAACTTGAATGGGTTTTTAGTTGTAGTAGATCACTTGTAGGGTAGGTATCCCTCGCTGTCTTTGTTGTTGCCTAAATTCACACGTTAAAAGGTAAGACCCCCGTCATTCCTTGCTCGCACAAGTCTCTTGAATATTTCTGAGGGTTGCTCAGGGGGCAACCGAATGATGGATAAGAACGAACAACAAGAACAATATGCGTCACGTTAGGTTTCTTATTAAACTTGCACATGAATCTGATAAAAAAGAGCAGTTCAGCTGGCGTTGAGAAAGAAAACAAATGTCTTCCCCAACTGTCCTTGTCTTCTGGGTTCCAATAAAAAATAATGAAAATTGTATGTGGGCAATACTGGAAATTAGAAGAAACGGAGACGAAGAACATTCTAACCTTTTTTATATTGAAGTTAATATGAGCCGGCGGTCCCTATAGGCTATGGATGTTGGACTCTGAAGATACCTACATCTGGTTGGAATACCAGAGGATTCGGTTGGGGGTAGTGTGCTCACCGGCGTCGGTAATTAGCCTCAGTATCAGAAAAAGGACGACGTTAAATAAATAAGGAAGAAGAAGAAGTTAATATGACCTTCTTCTCCATTTTTCCCTATTTTCAATGTTACCAACATAAAATTTTCATTATATCTTTACGTTGGAACACTAGAGACAATAAGAACCAATGAACTCAATATAAACACCATATTGAGTTCATTGATAAGACCAGACATATATTTCAAGGTCCGTTATAGTTGTGTTTGATGCTGATTTGAAATGATGTACCAAAATGGTACATTTGCAGTTTACCGTGTGGTACGTTTTATAGGTTGGGCGCGGCAATATTCTCACCTAGTCAGCGACGTCGTCTCTGCGGGCGGCGAATATATCTTCGTGTAAGTATCCTGCCTCCTGAACTTCCTGTTCTCCACCGGCGTGGTGGGTATCTGCGGTCTGGGGATCCTAGAAGGCGTCGGGCTACCGCCGTCCTTCTTCAGGCTCTCCTTCTCTTTCTCGCACTTGCCGCACAACGCCTCCTCGGACGTGTTGCACGCCACCTTGATTTAGTTCAATTTCAATTATTGTATCTTTACAAGACGCCGAATTTTCGTTTCGAACGCATGCCGAAAAAACGCCAATGGAAAAGTTGCCAAAAGTATTCTTAGTCATGACGCCAAACTATAGCTATTTGAACATTTCTCCGAAAGTGATGGTCAAATACGCAGAAATAGCTATTTGGACGTTGGTCATTATGCCGAAACAACTGTTCGGAAATTTCGCTGAAAATGGTGGAATTGCCGGAATAGTTCTTTGGATTCTTTTCATTTCTCACTGCGTACTTGAGGAATGGAAAAAAAATGAATCCAAACATTTGCTAGTGACTGTACTCCTCTATTGAGTGAAACAAAATATCATGCAACACGACACGTCACGAAAATTTTTCAAAACGTTTTTATGAAAACAAATCAGGGTATCCCTGAAATATCTGTTCAAAATGAAACCACGACTCCTGAGACCAAAGTGAGACAATTGAACCAAACTCAGCTCAACAGGGTGTCGCAGGTTCTAGGAACATATGAACATGAGCCCAGAAATGGCCCCCTGGGGAGTTATAGCCATCTGAAAGAGGGCTCGAGATGATGGTTTCTTGTAAATATTTTCGAAACCCTCTGGATTGTACATGAATATTATTACTTTTCATGTCCGATTTAGATATGCTAGGAATTTTCCGAAATTTTGATCAGGGTGTGGAAAATAGGTGGGGCTAGGGGCATTTCTTCCCCCAACTTTTTTTTCTATGCCATTTCCTGCCATTTGACCAGGAAGTATGAATTATCATCATTTTTACCTGAAAATGATACTCCTGTTTTGTTTCTATAGCACACACCAATTTTGAGATAAATCGATTTTGAAAGTCTGCTGCGTAATAAAAATAGTACTTTTTCTTCATAGGGTACCTACCTACCATAATATTTTTCAAATTATTATTTTTATTGTTCCTCTCATACTCAGAGTTAAACATCACGAGTAGATGTCGAAGAAAGGGTATTTTCTATCGAAAAATAATTTTAAGGAATGCACTTTTTTACTATTTTTGTTCCTAGAATATGTGGTTGGAATCTTTTTATGTAATTTCGGGACACCCTGCATACCAAAACGTTCTGTTTAGCCGCTACAGGGCGGTGGAATTGAATTTCTATTTTTTATTTGTTCGTAATTCTAGCTATTATGCATAAAAAAGCATTCCATACCACTTAAATTGGCATACAAGATGTTACATATTTGAAGCGAGAAATGAAAAAAACACAATTTTGGCAATTTCACCACTTTCGCCGAAATGTCCGAACAGTTGTTTCGGCATAATGACCGTTTTCGGCCAGAGACCAAATAGTTATTCCGGCGTGTTGGCGTCTAGCAATTAGATACGCTACTGCTCAGTGGAATGTCACTAGCTGGCTATCACAGACATGTGCAAGTGCTGGTTGATTATAATGTTCGGCGGGTAGTCGAACTCAGGACAAGCATACCCCATGTCCATCTTATATTTTGTGATAGTGCTCGTTTTCATTGAATTGTGATCATAAGCTAACACAGCGTTTTGACCACTTTCGGCACAATGACCACTTTCGGCGACTCGACTCGTCCATTCGGCAAAGTGTCGTATAGACCCTATTTTCGACAGGAAAGTTATGGAGAAGATTTAATTTCTTTGATTCGATACGTATTTCGGGGTACTGAATCAGAATCTGAGGTTTGCTTTTTCGTGCCGCAACATTGAAAAAAGGCTGGTTTTTAGTTACACAGAGAATTTTGAGGTTATGTAGAGAAAATATAGTATTGCTCTAATAATAATAATAAAAATATACTACTATAAAACCTCTCGTATTCAGTTCTGTATCCACATCTGCGTTGGTCAATCAGCCAAGAGTTCCCAAATTCCATTTATGTTTATTAATATTGTAATTTGGCAAAACTCGAGAACTTCTCTCTGGTATCTTTCAAATGAACTATTTGTGAATTTTAAGTAACCTATAGATCACAACTGCATATATTACCTCTAGCCTGCTGGAAATAAAGATTCAAGTCTGCTGTAGAAAAAGATTGCTTCTATAGGACTGAAACTTCATGGCATAGGTAGCACGATGGGTGTTCTCGAAGAAGAATATCAGTTTCTACAACTGAATTCGCTATTTCACATCTTTACAATAACAAGTGCCTGAAATCACGTCTCATACGCAAAAGAAAAAAAAAACAATGGGAGACCTATGGAATAAACACATCAATTGTCCATTGTCGAGAAAATGATATCAATAAAATTCATCTGATAGACTGATGGTCCATTGTCATTTCATTGATGACTTTATGACATTGATGAACCTATATCCTTTATTCATCAATCGATCAGTACTGTTCCAGTGGTCTTTGTAAAATGGATAATACCCATTGGTTCCCCAATGCTGTAAAAATAGTGAAATCTTGATTATCATAAATCCATAGGATAAATACTATTGTACCAGCACAATTCAAGTGCAACATACGTATTATATGATTGAAACAGCAATGAACATGTACTTTTTCATCACCGAAAGATAGTGCCATTGAATCAATGGACTATTGAATCGCCAGCTATGTCATGTTAGCTGGGTGTTATAAGCAAAAAATTGACAAAACATTATTTTTTTATCTATTTTTGAATTTTTCCAAATGTTGTGCCATGAAATTCTGACTCAGACTCAGATTCAGACAGAGCACCCCAAACACCATGTTGAATGAAAGAAATCAAAACTACCCCACAATTTTCCCACTAGGAGCCCTTTCGAGCCCAAATTGTTTGTATTACCTCGCAAGTACCCGACTTCACTTCCCTAGCCTCGCACCCTACGTGCCTTGTCGGCACCCTCAGATCCTGGGTGTCGGTGTGCTTGGACGTACTACCCCTAGGCTCGTACTGAGTATTCTTCTCGGCCGTGCTCCGTTCGCACTGGCAAGACTTCGAGGAGGATTTCGCCCTCAAGTCCGATTGGCAGGACCTGCTCTTGGTATCGGGTTCATGCTGCGACCCCACAGTCCGAGTCCTGACACTCAAATTCAGTCTGTCTTCTCCCAGGTTGAAGGATTTGCTTCTGGACGTCAGCGAGGCTAAAGAGACCGGGGACGTGTGGATGTCCTCGCTGGTGTCAGGGCCTACCGCTACAGATCTCTTGAAGGCGTTGCATTTCTCGCAGACTATGTCGTTTATGGTGTCGTCTGAACAGCCTATTGAGTAGCATTCGACGCATTTTTGAATGGCGAAGTCAGACACCCTAGCCTTCGCTAGTACCCCTCTGTGGCTGATTTGTTTTTGTATCTCACTGGTTTGTGTGGAGGACACTGATTTTGGTGGTTGAGGCGCCTCGAACTTGAATTGTATGCCAACATCTCGTTTGTCTCTTGACAATATTGTTTGCGTTTCTCTAGAAACGGATATTTTTTTGAAGGTGTTCAGGCTGTTTTGGATGTTCATGAATTTTACTTTTTCTGGGAGCCATTTGTCGCCGATATCGTTTTCTATTGTTGTAGTTGAAACACTTTTTGTGTTAGGATTTTGGTGTCCTACACCGATATTTCTTGTGAGTACCCCACACATCACGCCGAAATCCTTTCGAGGAGGTGGTGGAGGGGGAGATTCTTTTTTTGTGGAATTTTCTATTTTGTCTACGTTTGTGAATGATTGTGATCTTTGGCGGTTATAGTTGGGCTGAATATAGTTACCATTCAGAGAGTTTAATTTAACCGTTTCTTCCGATTTCAACCTCAGCAGAAGGCGTCTATTCTCTTCCTTCAACGTGGATACTTGATCCTATCAAATAGAACAGTAACAAATATATTTATAGTTTCGATAACGGATAAGTAATATGTTATCAATACCAATTTTTGTGAATCGAGTTATTCGAGTATAGCAGTTTTGATTAAATGAACAAAAGATTGCTTCATCTCAATGGAGAAAAATATCACTTTCTTTTTGTCGACGAATTTATCATTTTTAACGGTGCAGTCAAATTCACTCCAGCATATCATATCAGTCAGTATCTATCGTTACCTACTCAGATTTCTATATAGCTAGGATCATATTTCATGCACCAACCGTGCATTCCAAATGAATTCCTAACGAATTCCAAACGATGACAAATATTTTATAATTTATTTTCCTCGAGATTTTGAATAAGATTTATCACATCACAGATTATGTTGTAGATGGAAGACTAAAGATCGAATGATCAATCTTGATAGCGGTAATTTAACATTTTATATAAGAGACCCTCTTTCTTTGGTATTTTCTTATCACTATTCATCGTTATACATCTGGGTTAGTAAAGAGTCAAATATCTCAGACACCACGTTGATAATTATTTTCATAATCATATAGGTAAGTAAATAATTCACATCGGCCCATTTAATACCGAATAAGACACCAATTATAATATATTTTTCAGAGACATTCGGTTGATGTAAGTTGCAGCAGATATTTTGGCAAAAAAGTCCAAGTATGTCATTTTTGAGTTGACCAAATCATGTAACAACCCTGTATATTTTTCACGCAAATATGATCATCGCGTCTTGAGATATTTCACCGATACCATCATACTTTCTACTAACCCTGTAAGGTTACATAATGTGAAATGTCCGATTATCGGCAGATATCTGAATTATTCGAACTATTCGACTAATTTTCTATCAGACATAGACACATTCAGTGTGCAATTGAAAACAATCACTACCCTGTATGTCTATGGTTTCATAGCTCAACTCTTTTGACAAAAAATAGAAACAAATACTGATGTGTAGGTTAACCGAGGAGATGGAATATTTCAATTTTTTGGGATTTTCTCTCGTCGGTTATATAAATAAAAATAATTATGAGTATTACTTCTATATATATTCGTTCAGATTATTTGCCCCAAAATATAACCGCGTTTAAAAATGTCACTTTTAAAGAGCCCGAATAATAAAAACTGGTGTGCGTAGAACCCGAGGAACCACACGTTGGAAGTGATAACTTCTATATATGGCCGGTCAGTATTTCCAATATCTTTCGGGCAATACGGGGAGAATCTGAATGAAATAATATCAATTTTATGTAATATTTCCACGTATTCGCGAAAAGGAGGAACTAGAACTGAAAATATTGATGGAGAAATTTCAAGAATGAGAAATTTCAAATTACAAAAGTATTTATTACTCACCCTGTGTATTATAAATGATGTGAATGATGTAGAGTATTTTTGTAATCCGAGTTAGAACACAATATGAGTAGACTATCTGTGACTTATTTGATGCATGAATTAAGTCTTTTGGTCAACTACCGATTTTTCCGTTTTAGTCCCATCCCAGAAAGTGCCGAAGGGGAATATAGAAGTTATAATAATAATAATAATAATGGATTTCATTGACAGGTAAAGGTAAATACAAAATGAACGGAAAATGATAGAGAGCTGAGAACTGTATACCTATCAAACGGCAGAATTCAAGTTCAGATCATGTCACCAGTGAAGTGACGTAATCAGAACTTGCTCTTCCATTCAAAAACGCGGACACCCATGACTTCCAACAGGGGCCAGTCTATCGGAATTATTGTTTCATATAGAAAGGTGTTCTGATGCTCCCAGAATTTTCTAGACTCGAATTCTCAAACCAAAGTAAAAGCATTCTTCCTGCAGAATAGTACTATTTGTCGTTTGTAATTTCAGGAGATTCCAACGCATATAGACCGATGCAATAAGAGTGATTTATGTTGGCAATCATTATTTTGATGTTATAGTTAGACTATATATAGAACCATTACCAGCTCAGATGAAAGAATACAACAGCTAGGTTCACAGTACAATAGATATTTTCTCGGATATTTTTTATCATTCGTTCACTTTGTTGTCATCGTTAAATCTAAAGTGACCACTTAATATTTCCAGACACTTTTGTCCAACAAGAGTCTGATAACTTCCACTGGCATTATAATTCAATGAAATTAGAACCGATAAAGTAAATGGTATGTGAATGTTCAGTCGTCTTCAGCGAACATGTCGCGGTTGGACGGTATGAGCGCTCTTATTGCAGCAGTGATCAAGGGAGCTGACACCGTCCATGTGCAACATGATCTCTGAAGACGACTGTTCCGTGAGAGGAATGATCTAGAATATTCAATCATTTCCCTTGTAAAACAGGACAAGACAAATGGAACACTTTTTATTAATAAACAATTTTAGTATTCCCGTTCTTCTATCCTCCAAGCATCAAGTATTTCAGCGCATTTCAGTTTTCATAATGATTTTGCCTGGGCTAATTGATAGGTATACATTGTCATTGCTGTCCCAGGATTTGAAATAAAAATCGAGTTCTTAGAAACTCACACTAGATACGGACCTTGCCAAAACTGTCATGGGAGGCAGTTTTCTTAAAATTTATAGAAACATGTTCCAATAATTGTTTCCATACTATCAAAATTCTGATGGAGAATAGCCTTTCAATTCCGACTAGGGAATGCATTTGATTGGTATATTAATTTTGTTAATTAATCTCTAATTTATAATAGATCTCTGAGTAGGTAAAGTTTTATTTAATTGATATCTTATAACTCAATTTAGTTAATTAGTTTCATTTTAGTTTTTGACTTCTTGTTGTTCAGTTATGAAAGAACTGTTTTATTATTAATAGTTATTTATACACCAAAGTAGTAAAGAATATCGGTATTACCCAGGGACCAAGATAATATTATTCTTTACTACCAAGGGGTGTACTGTATACTATATTTTTTTCACCACTAGCAGTATATTTCAATGACTATAGTTCCGTGAAGCTGAAATATATGGACCTATTGTCACAATGAAAGCACTTATTTTCAATTCTAATTAAAATCCAGTAGCCTGAAAGCATTATGACAAGTCGATATTGATAAATACCTCTACTAGATTCGAGTGTCATTCCTACAAATCTCGCATGAGAACAGTGAATTCAGGTTAATTATATCAGAGGCGGCCATATCTTTATTGACTATCTATATTGGTTCATAAAATGACGAAAGCTACCTTGGTAGAAAAACACACTTTACGCCTTGAAAAGGAGTAAATAATGGTAGGTTCTAGAGCTATAGTGGTTTATTATATTTCTTATTTGATTAGATACCGTCATCTGAGTATATATGAAACGTTTTAATGAATATTTTCGTTCTGAAAAATCGGAACGACTCAAAATATTCGTGGTTATTTGAAGGATATAGGAGTATATTCTCCATGGATTTCTGTTGGTTCTTGATGCAGCACCCTTTCATTTTTTTTGGATTTTCGACGTTCCATATAACCCTTAGGCACGGGTTATATGAAACAATATAATTTTTACGTCATACCCTCGCGAAAAATTGAAATTGTGTTATATTAGACTTTGTGATGGGTTATATGGAACAAGTGGGAGGTTTTAAGAAATTTATGACTGGAAGAGAAAAAGAATTGAAAGGAATACGAAACATCATTTTATTGTTTCACTTTGAAATTCAGGTCATAAAAAATAACATGAAACTCTAAAAAAATAATAAAAAAATGGAAATGAGATCCTAGTCACAGCTTTCATCATCGAAAATAACATAAAATTCTAGAAAATAATATAAAAACAGAAATGAGATCCTAGTCACATATTGATAGTTCCTGCGTTAATCTGTTCCTGGTTTATGGATATGTTTCCGTGGCATTTCATATAACCCTGCAAAAACGAGATTTTTTTGTTTTTTTACTTTTTCTCGACGAAGTTTTATGATTTCAATCATGAAAATATTGATGATGGTTAGTTGAGGTTATATACAAATATTGTTCTTAATGAACTGAGTAATAGGTTTTTGAGATACATATGAGACTATTTGAGGTTAATGAAAAAGGTTCAAAAGTACCATAAACAATAATACAGAGTCAATCTTTGGTTTATCTGGCAGACATTTTGACAATCAGGTTAAACCAACATTGTGAAATTCAAATTACCAACGCGCTAAATTCAAAAATAGTTCCTGACGTTTCATATAACCATCGCCGTTTCATATATACTCAGATGACGGTACTTCAAAGTTCACTACTTCAATTTCATTCAAAAAAATGATAGATACGTCGAACAATCCTAAATGCATAAAAGTTTATTGAAAAAATATATGTAAGAATAAAATGTTCATTTGATAATACCTAAGTACCTATAATTCTAATTATTTTTTTCCTAATTTATTCGAATATTGTGATTATTTTCGAGAATAAACACACAAAACTGTCAATCTCGCGAGATCTCGCGGAATTGTTATTCATAAACTCGCGAAATTTCGCCTGAGCCCCAATTGCATTCCCTAATTCCGACAGATTCTTGAATCGGGCGCCAAAGTAAAAGGTACCACCAACCTTGAGCTCCGGCAGCAACTTCACTTGGTCCTCCAGCTGCTTCGTCCTCTCCAAGCTGAGTGCCATCTGTTCTCGGATATTCTGCAAGGCCAAAGGGCTCATCCCGCATGACTCTATGCTGACGGCATCGAAGTCATGCTGTTTAGTGGCGAGGGTAAGCCCATCATGGGCCGTTGGCATAGCGGTCACGGTCTTGCCGGACGCTGAAGACATCGAAGGGAAGCTCAGTTTTTCCGCGCATAGCAAATATTCTGGGCGACAAGGGCGACACGAATCGACACAGGCGAATTTCTCAATGAGACCTATCAACTGTCTGCCGACGGTGCAGGCTATCCATAGGAAAAAACACGTCAACCGTTCTATGCTGACGGTCTCCATGGATTTTTCGAAAACTCTCGCACACCTGTTGAGTTTTCGTGGCCGACCATAACATTTAGGTTGGCTATGAAAGTGTATTAAAGTGCATTTAATGCTGACGGACGCATGCGCCGGAAAGGAACAATTGTTTAGCTCTACTGAACATCCACTCAATGTGGTTCAAGCATTGAATAAATAGACGCGAGGAAGGAGCGAGCTTTGTGGTCCACGATGAATTTTGAATATCATTTTGCATGGTGGTCCAGATTTTTGCACATCAATCATTTTGGGATGGTGACAGGTTCGAGATTGGAGGCTTTTGTAGATATGCATAGCATAAAAAATGCACCATAACTTAAATACAGAGGGAGTTGAAATTCGATTATAAGAATAAGCTTTATTATTCCAGATCTGAAAAAATAATCCTTTTCAAATCGTTGCACTTATTCCTTTCTATGTAAACCTCCGTTTACAGTAAATAGTAGAATCCATGGGTGCCGATGATGGGGTTAGATATCATTTCTCTACAAATATATAGGAGACCATTTGATGTTTTCGAAAAAATCAGTAATCCGCTGAATAGCCTATCAAATTCTGAACATTCATTATTTTGCGAGGCCCTATATCTTCTCTATGAATCAATGTACAAAATTCTGGACCATGCCCTGTTTATAGTGTGAATAAATAAGAGCGAAACATTCGCCTGTCTGATGGGATTATTTTTCGATAAGTGACAGATATGGAATTGAGTGGAATGTATTCTCTATATTGTTTATATTTGCACTCTCATTGAAAAGACACTTCAACATAGCCAACACGTCTGTGACATCACATCTTTGAGATGTCGCGTTTAGGTAACAGTGCGATATCACAACCGTTCCTGCGATGTTCATACGCAAACACATTTGCGACGTGACATCTCTGAGATGTCACGATGAGGCAACATTGCCATATCACGAATGTTGCATCGCTTCGATGTATAGAAGCAAACTCATCTGCGAGAATTTTTCAAAAATGTGTTATTTAGATTCTTGTTCGGTGAAAAATGATACATCCCAGTAAACATGAGACATTTATGGAATATTTCAAGAATACCTAAAATGTTGATGATTGAAACATTTTTCAGGAACATTCCAGAGATATTGCAAAATCACTGTAACATTCCTGAAATATTTCAAAACAACTATAATTGATATATTCTGAAACATTTCGAAATTACTTGTGAAGTGAATGAATGGAATATTCCAAGATAACTTTGATTGTGAATAATTGAAACATATCATTCACTACCTATTCAGGAATGTTTCAATGCGTTCGGAATATGTTTGAAACGTTTCAAGGTACCTCAAACTATTGATATTTTGAAACATTTCAAATATACTCTCATTGCGAATTACTTCAATGTTTCAAGAAAACTTTAATGGCTTGATTGAAGAATATTTCAAAATCACCTGAATTTTAAATGATTGGAACATTTCAATATGTCTTTCATTCTGAATGATGGAAACATTTTTCAGGAACATTCCAGGAATATTTCAAAATCTTTGTACCATTTCTGAAACATTTCAAGACAACTTCAACTGATATATTCCGAAACATTTCAAAATTTCTTGGATAATTAATGAATGAAACGTTTCAAAATTTCTTCAATTGTGAATAATTGAAACATATCATTTTCTACTTATTCAGGAATGTTCAAATGCGTTCGGAATATGTTTGGAACATTTCAAGGTTCATCAAACTATAGAAATTTTGAAATATTCCAAATATACTCTTATTGCGAATTACTGCAATATCAAAAGACAACTGAAATTGGTTGATTAAGGAACATTTCAAAATCACCTGAATTTCAAATGGTTGGAACATTTCGATATTACTCTCATTCTGAATAATGGAAACATTCATCAGGAACATTCCAGGGATATTTCAATATCATTGCAACATTTCTGAAACATTTCAAGACAACTTTAATTGATATATTTCGAAACATTCCAAAATTACTTGATTGATTAATTAATGAAACGTTTCAAAATCACTTCGATTGAAACATATCATTTAATACTGATTCAGGAATGTTCCAATGCGTTAGGAATATGTTTGAAAAATTCCAAGGCTCCTCAAATTATTGACATTTTGACACATTTATCAGGAATTACGCACCTACTACAATATTCCAAGACATGCAACTTGAATTGGTTAATTTAAGAATATTTCAAAATAATCCGAATTTTAATAAATTAATTAGATTATTTCACAACTATTACATGGTCTATTTTGAACAAGCATTTTATGATATTATGATGCAATTCAGCATTTCCCCTCTACAGCCGCCGCTTTCGTGGCTTCGGTAATCGATCGCGGGTTCCCGTCTTCGGCTCTAAGCGTTCGCGCACGCGCATTCAGTTTCCTTCTCCTTGGTGAAAGGCTTCGCAGTTTTCGCTTTCCGACTGTTGTCTCAAGCCAAGCAAAGCAAAAGACATCTAATATCTTATAATAGTGATAAAATATAATTATTTCACTCAAGTCAAACACATTTTCGAGTGTTTACTATTTAATCGTACCAGTAGACCTGTTAGGTGATTTAGGTCATGTGAAGTAACATCAAAACTTGCAACCAAACAAACAACACAAACGACTCCATTTTTTTTATCCCCTGGTGTGGCTGGACTTTGAAATGTATTCAACGATACGCTCCATGACCAAGGCCGAGGTACGTATAAATATAGAAAAACCATAATTTCAGATGAAATATCAAATATCATTAGATATCATGATGGGTATATTCATAATGATACTTTTTGTTCTAGGATGGAGTGTGAAAATTTCATCATGACTTAGAAGCTGCACAAGAATAGTGCTTCCAATTGCGATGTAACCGAAGAAAAATATTGAAGCACTCAACATGTGAATAACGATGTTAAATTACTTGATATATATGTACATACCTAATACGTCGTGATTATGTGAAATATCTGATGATACTTTTTAACTGCTTTTTTCATAATATATCATTATATAAGCAATATAATCCATTTTTTTATGTCTATTATCTTTTATTTCACCAGCAATATGAATATATTCCAGCGATATTGGTAGGTATTTTTCATTCTGAAACATTCAATGGGAATGTTTCATAAACAGTAATATTGTTGAATGAAAAACATTCATGAAATGTTTCATGAAACATTCCCGAAAGTTCTACAATGAATGATCCCAGGATGTTTATATATATATGTATTTGAAACATTAATTATAAAACATCTCTGGTGGCGAAAATTTATCGTTTCAAAAATATTCATGGAATGTACCAAGAAACATTCCTACAGATCTAATCATATTGGGAATGTTTCCAGAATGTTTCAAGCATTTGTATTCGAAACATCATTCATGAAACAGTTTTGAGGGCAAATATCTTTGGTTTCACGAATATTTCTGAAACATTTCATGTAATATAACGAAAGAAATATTTATGAAATATTGCATGGAACATTCCTACAGGATACGATCATGGTAGAAATGTTTCCAAAATGTTTCAATTTGCGTATTCGACACATTATTTAGGAACATTACCATGAAACATTCCTGAGGGCGGACATCTCTAGTTTCTGGAATGTTTCTGGAACATGTAGGCAACTTTGAATGTAATGTTTCATGCATCAATACTACGTTTCTGAAACATTTCAGAAACAAAAAAATGTTTACTGGGATGAATATACGTTACTCAACAAAGTGAAGCTACTAAATTCGCAAACATTCGTTGCATTGCTATCAATCTATTCTTGGTTTGCTTACATTTCGCCGACACACACAAAAAACAACACATAATCACAATATCAGTGGTGTACCTCTGATCACACAATGTTTGAAGAAACTTTTTTTTCGTTTTACTGCGATGTCATCTCGCATCACAAAAACACTTGTTATTTGTAATGAAAAACATAAATTACATTGCAAAACATATATCGCTGTTATATCGCAGAGAACTTATCGCAGCGACATCGCATGGATGAAACTTGAGTGGGACAAAATAACATCTCCCTGACATAGCAGCGACATCTATGCGACATAGAATGCGATATCGCAGGTCATAATTGTTACATCGTTACGATATCTCTGTGATGTAACTGTGTTGGCTAGGAAGACGTATCTCATTTTATTATTTCGTACTTATTCACCAATCAACACGCATCAACACGCCTTTGGTTACCTATACGTCGTACAAACCATTAATCTGAGAATATTCAATTCCGTTCTCATTGTTTATTTGTAATCTGTAGATCATTAACAACTGAGCTATCAACAACTATGTCAAATTGTTTCACGTTTCGGTGTGTGAAATTTAGTAGTGCAGATCAGAAATCCACCATTTTTTCTTCATATTATAAACTCCAAAGTACATTCAGATGCGAAACGAAAAGAACGAAGTACGTGACTAATCATTCCTCAATCCTGTTTACCGCTTTTCTGTAGCCATCGTAACCTCTATAAAACATTTATTTTCATCTAGCCTCAGAAAAAATATGAACAATGTTGAGCTAGCTCTACTCATATACTTATCACATGCTTTGCTTCTGGTAAATTTTCCATGCCACACTGTCTATGGAAAGATATTCTGATACGTAAGGAGTGCGAAGTCTGACTCGGGAAACCTCAAACAGAGGAGTCTTCAACATTAACAAAGATACAAAATTCAAGTGTGTTATATTGTTGGAAAATCAATTCCATATTGAATTTTAAGAAGTGATTGTGATGACTGATGAAGTGGTCTGTTGAAATAGTCGTTAATGTTCCTTCCTTCGGTTTCCAAAGTCAATGGGTGCAATTGAAACAGCTTGTAATAATGGCA